AATAAATAAATAAATAAATAAATAAGTGATTTTTTTCTCCGATTTCTCAAATTTTGAACATAAACTATCTTGTCATTAATCAAATCTTAAACCTTAGTACTAGATAACTAATTAACGTTTTCACCGCCAAGAAAACACAAGGAAATAAAGGAGAGCATGCTAACCAAAAAGAGCTGTTTTTAAAATAGCTCTTTATTGGTGTAATAGCGGAGAATTCCAAAAGCGACCCTTGTTTCTATCAGCATTAGCAGCCTTTGGATCTCAATATATTCGGGGGTTGTTACTTTCCGAGAGCCAAAAACGTTAAATCAAGTTGGTGCGACTGAGCTCTTTTTTCGACTTAAAGACGGGGTGATAAAATTTTTCGTTCCAGTGTAAATTTGTGTTGCTGACACATGAACGTGTTGTAAGTGGTTAGTCAGATACCGTCAGCTGTTTCTTTTTTATGACGCTCTGGTACGCATCAATATCTCAGTGCGCTGCCCGAGTTTCAATTTTAATATGAAGAAACGTTCTTTTGAATACGCTCCTGTTGAAAATGATGATTGATTTTATTTGAAGAAACGTTCCTGTTAGTGCGTTTCCTGTTACTTGATGAATATTTTACGGCTTTTGTTTTTACATGGCTCAACATGAACTTATGAAACACGAATTGACATTTCGTTGCATAAGCGATACCTTCACTCGTTGTTGACTGGCTGACTGCCTTAATTAATTTTCAATATACGTACGTAACTTTCACTTGACTCTTGACCGGAAAAACAAATATGCTATCGATTGAACCTTGGTTTGGCTATTTTCGGGGTTGAGTAGGGTGGGGTTGTTCGCTACCTCGGAATTTTACAGTATATCTATTTATATAGATATTGGTGAAATAACTGGATCTTTTGTCATGATAACGGAGATGTATATTTTTTCTTTCAACATATTTAAATTGAATTTTACTTTTTCCAACACGGAAAAATAACATTTTTTTTTGAAAAGCAAACGATTTTTTTATCTTTGCGTGTTGCCAAAATGGTTTTCGTATTAGTTTAAACATTTTCTGCGATTACAGTACTCATCTCGTATCAGGTGACCACTGTTTTACGGTGCTTTTTAAAATGAATAAAAATGTCTTAGAGTTGCACGTTTCATCAATATCCATATAATTACCAGAAAATTTCATGGCCGCTTGGGGAATACCGTGCTGATGGGCATGTTTTCTCTCACAAGTAAGAGATACCATCAGCACTTGAAGCTAAGATAACATTCGTATCCCCCCGCGCTCATGTAATATTCTATATTTATATGCGTGGGTGTAACTATTTCTGGATGATCTAAATTTCATTGTAAGTCAGACTAAACCGCAGGATAAAATCAACTTCCTTAGAAATATTGCTTGCAGTCGTCCGTTGTCTCTACAGCCTTTAGCTGAACGACCTCGTGCTATCATTTCGATTTTAACTGAGTGGATCCGGCTCTTTCTTGAAAGGGTTTTCTTTTTTGACGATGAAGAATGAAAAATACGGGCGAAAGTGGAAGACTATTCGTCTGAAACGTAAAAAGGCAATATAACAGACAAAGCATACGAAAATTAATTGAAAACCTTTCTGCAAATTGAGCCAGATTGTACTTTGAGACTTCTTCCAAATTCCTCAAAAATAAATTTAACAAGTCGAATGTGGTTTAGCGTGGTCTGTAAT